AAAACAGAGCCAGCGCGGGAGGCTCCGAAAGCACCAAGCAAGCGGCCCGTTCCCACGGCGTTTGCCCGGAAACTTTCAAGGGCAGCCAGCTGCTTCTTGCGCACTGCTCGTACAGCTACGTGGGGCACAAAGTGCTAAAAGGAAAATACTTGGGATGTAATCTGTTCTGACAAGTACAAAACGCAGCCAGGAACAAACTGGTACAAATTCTGGGTACACAAAGTTATTCCTTAGGAGAAAAACTGCGTGCATTTGCTGTGYGCGTTGCCAAAGGGCGGGGAAAAGCCATGGCTTAATCTGTAACCTAGCACCCAAGGTTCTGCTTTGCTTTATTGAATAAGAGGACACAAACCCTGTCTACACCGTAGGACAGCCTCATCACGTAACTAACGGTCCCCAGCGCTGCTAGAGCGTGACTTCGTGCGGGGCCGGAACGGCAGTACTCACACATGACTTCCAGGTAGCGCTGCGTCTGCAAGTCCTTGACGGCGGGGTGGTCCACCAGGCAGATGACGGGGACCCCGTCATCCTCCCGGGCCACTTTCAGCAGCAGCTGACTGGTCACCGTGTACATGTCGGACCACTGCTCCACTTCGGATTTGCCTGGCAGCGAGAGGAGAGCAAGGGCAGCACAGTGACCGCGGGAAGGCCGCTCGGCATCRCCCGGAGAGCCCCTGCACCCTCCTTCCATCCCCACGTCCCCCTTTTGATGGCCCCAAAGGCTGTGCGAGGCGAGCGTGCGCGGCAGGAACGTGCAGCTTCCCTCCGCGAGGCTCCTTGCAATTAAGCTCGACACGACGTTACTGCCCCGATTAATAAACCCATTACACCACCCCCAAATCCCCAAACCCTTAAATCACTGGAGCAACAAGTCCCCTCCCTCCCGGCAACCAACACGTAGCTGGAAGCGACGGAAGGGGCTGAGGTTCAGGGACAGCGTTCCTGGGAGGCGGCAGCGCTGCGGAGCGCGGCTCGCGCCGGGCGGCAGCCCCGGGGCTCCCCGCGCCATGGGGCGCTCGCCCACGCTGCCTCCCCCCCGCTTCCTACCCCGCCGCCCTCCGCTGCTCTCCCACGCTGCCGAGAAAAGCCACCTCGTCACGTTTAGAGGGAAGACTTTCCCGCCCAAAGAGCTACGGACTCTACTCGCAACCCACACGACAGGCAGAAAGCAAGCAGGCGTTTCAGCATCCCCACTGCTGTGCAAGCAAGCMAACAAATGCGCCAGGTGAACGGGTGTTTCAACAAGCTCCCGCTCGGCTCAGCAGCCTTCGAAGACACAGCAAAGTGGGAATTCAATCGCCGACGCAGGAAAACTCWATCGAGATGCCAGACAGGTCAAGTATGAAGGGTCAAATACTGCTGCCCCGCTGCTCTCCCGAATGGAAAAGGAAGCCGGGGAAGAGATCATTTGAAGATGTGCACAACATTTAGATGACAGCGGTTGCTGCAAGTCACAGGGTCACCGCTACCCGSGGCGGCACGTCGGGCACTCCGTCCTTATCGGCGTCAGCCCAGCACGGCCCCTCGAGCCTGGAGGCCCAGGGAGGCCACAGGCAAAAGCAGGACTTCATTCTGCCCTCGCAGGGGGTTAGGTTTGCAGGAATGAGTGCGGTTTCTCTATAAAGGCCTTTGCTCTCCCTGACTGGGTAAAGCAAAAGCTGTTGCCAAGCAAGCTCACATCTACGTGTACACTTAAGCTAGCAGTACATCAAATGCAGTAAGGGCAATTTAGGTGTGTACAAATGCTACAGGCTACCCGACCGAAGAGGGGGAGAAGCGCCCTTCTTGGAGGAATATTCACCTGGACGTGTAGAGAATGCCTGATGAGCAACATAGCTGGCTCTAAAAGTTGGATCTAAATTGAAAATCTTTACAGCTAACAAGCAGATCTTGATCGGCCTCAGACCTAGGCCGGGGCAGAAAGCGACCCGAGCAACCACGGCAGGAAAGTCTCTGCACAGCTTCAGGGCGCCTCAAGGTCACCTGCGACTGGAAAAAGCCCCCCAGAAGCCTGAGCCCAAGTGTGGCACGCAGGCAGGCAGGCAGGCAGGCACGTAGGCAGGGGCCCGAACAAGGTTTAGCCCTTCTGGGTCAGGTTGTCCCTTAGGGCTGCCACACGCTCCTGCAGCCCAAGCCGGGCTTTAAAGCCGCTCGCTCTGCTGCTTTCCCAACCGACAACRGGGGGCAAACACGCAGTATTGCACCCGCGGGCCCAGGTGTCTGCAAAGACAGAGAGGGTGCGTCCATACCAGTTAGCTCCTTGTTTCCTTTGAACCATCTGATGGTGGTGGCTGGTCTGCTGGCCATGGCGGTGCAGTTCAGCTCTATCTCTTCTCCCTCCACGGCAACTTCCTTCTGGATATCAATCACCAAGTTGCGTGGCGGCACTGAAAGGAGAAAAGAGAAGCCGGCACACAATAAAGCAATACAGARCAGAAGGCCGTCAGCTGTGGACCACTGGCACGGGACAAGGCTCTGTGGAAAGCACCCGTGGAAAGCCTGAACAACGAGTAGGTCCGTAAGAACCCGAAGCACTGCCTGCACCTAACCGCGGCGGTGGYTTCACAAGCTGCCCCCTAGCAGCTGATTAGGCTGCTTTGCCCTCCCGGGCAGGCCCCTTGCCCCCCCGGGCTGTACAAACCCACGCTGCCTGGGCCCGCGCGCCRCTCTGAGGAGCGCGCTCCGGCCTCACGCGCAGCGCTGGCCGCCTCTGGCAGCGACAAGAGCAGCGAGGGCGGCCGGGTCCCACGGGCAGGCGCTGCCCGCCCCAGGCGCCAGCTCACCAGGGGCAGCCTCCCCACAGCAGCGGCTCACCCCTGGGCTCAGGGGAGCCCAAAGCCCTGCCAGGGAGGGCAGCGCCGGCGGCTCCTCGCCTCGCAGCGGGGCCAAGYGCCCTTCTTCTGCCCAGGAAGCACCCGCTGCGCATCGGGATTCCYGGGACCCACAGAGCTAGAGCACCATAATCCGCAATGACAACTCATCCAACGATATGGGGCAAAAGCCCAGAGCCCCAGCGGCGATAACCGCTATTCCAGTATGACCCAGAGATGTGACGAACAAGCGTAAAGATTCTGACAGAAACTGGATGCTAMCTAGAGCTTCTTGCTATTATTCGGGAACATGGAAACAACAGGAGTTGTAGAGGAGGGGGAGCAAACAGCAACTGCTTGTAGAGCAGCCAGTCGCACTGGCAGGGAGAAGCTAAAACTCAGAAACTTGGAAAGGAGACCTCCCTTTCCTTCCTTACCGGTCTGATTAGGCAACCATATAGGTCAAATGTGACTAACGTGTTCTTCAGCTAATGACGAACAAATAAGAATAAATACCATGCAGATGATCAAATGGTCTAATTAGTCACTGGTGGCTTTTCTCGAAAAAGAAGAGAGCAGAGCACATACTCGGGCTTTCCACATGTTCCAATTAAGCGTGAGTACATCTACACACCGTGCCCCCGAAGCCYGTGGAATACACGGGGAAAGGAGGCSGGGGAAGAGGCACTAATTCGGAAGCAAAGCCTTGCTGGAGCTGCYGGGGCCGAGCYACGYGTCCTCTCCCTGCGGCGCCGGGAAAGGGAGTGCCCGACCTCTGCTCGGTCCTGCCGGCCGCGCATCCAGAGGCACGGGCTGCCAAACCCGCTCCGTCCCRCCGCTCCCAGCCTCAGAGAGAAGCCTCCTTAATGACCGAGAGAGAAAGAGCTTTGAGGGAAACGGGAGTGCTCGTGGGACTGCTGACACCCTCACACCAGGACCGGCGCCCTTTCCCCAGCCCGGCTCCCAGCTTGGGGGCCAGCACTTCGGCAGACACGACAGGACACGTCCCGTGCCATGCCGTCCTGTCCTCGCTGACTTCCCGGCCGCCTGCAGGCAAGTGCGAGCRCTGGGGCAGACAGGGCCTCCCCTCCCCGCACCGCTGACAGCGCAGCCAGCCTCGCTGCCTGCTCCCTGCACCACGGTTTGGCTCAGGCGCCTGAGGAAGCTCCAGGGAAACCTCTGGCCCTGTACTGGCGTCACGCAGAGGCAGCACACGCTGGCCCCGTGCCACAGTTTTGCAGCAAGGAGCCCGAGCACAGAACAAGGGAAGGGGCTTCTCCCCGCAGCCGGAAATACAATTCCCGCTGGAACAGAGCAAACCCACCCACAAGTGCATTAGTCTCCCCCTCGGAAGMCACGCAGCACTTTCTTGTCGGTGAGCAGAACGCTTGCACCTCAARCACACGGGGAGCAGTGAAATGCAGCACCCCAAAGGGTCCTCGTGCACGCAGGATCACACGGAGAGAGCTGCAGGAAAGGTCCACATCCGCACAAAGACTCCGAAAGTCTCAAGCTGGTGGGAAATGTAACAGCTAGAGTAGAGCTGATTATAAACATTATTTAAACAGCATATAAAAACCTAAGAAGCAAATCTCATTAAACAAAAGAAGAAAGAGATTTAAACTAATCAGCAAGCAAGATCTTACATTAAGTCATCCACTGTGATTCAGGTTCTGCTATTAATAGGGTCTTAAAAGGCAGCGCTAAGCTGCAGAAATAGCTCTAATAGCATTAGCTCCTAATATTGGTAACCACCTCAATGCTGCGGCTGCGTGAGCGGGTGCAGGAAGGTGAGGGAGGGCTCGGGCGGCCGCGCGGGGGGCACGAGCAGCCGCAGTGCGCTGGAATCTCCTCTGGAAAGGGCCGTTCCTCAGCCGGTGCCGGGGGAACGACCCCAACCTCCCGGCACGGTGACCCAGCTGCCACGGAAAGCGCCAGGAAGCTCCCGCGCTCTGCTTGCCACTCCAGACGCTTGCTGGCTGCACGCCGGCACAAGCTCGCCCACCTCCACGGTGCCCGCGCAGTCACCAGCCTCGCACGCTGGCGCTATTTACGCGTAAGGAATACAGACAGGCAGGCGAGGATGGATAAAGATGCTGTCATTCTTCATTATGATCTATCAAAACTCCAAGTCTCAGAAGAAMATTTTAAATGCCTGATCATAGCAGTCTGCTTAGCGCGAACAGAAAACTCCTAAACCAAACAGTTGCTCGCTACCGAACATCAGCGTTAGTTTTTCCTCCCCGTATCGGACGCCTATGGAGAGGAGCACACAGTGACTACGTGCCGGCGCCTGCTTCCCCTTCTCTCCTCGCTGAAGGAGGTGCTACAAAAGCACCTCCTTTCTCTCGAGCGCCAGGCAAGCAAGACGCACGGCCCTGGAAGGGCTGGCATGCGCAGAGCACGCATTTCTCCCAAGCCACCGCGTGGACAGCTTTCCATTGCAAGGTGCCAGCAGGTTCCCGTTTGCCCCCAAAGCCAAATGCTTCATTCCCGTGGTTTTGCAGGCAGCATGACAGCGAGCCGCAATCAATCGCTGCGGCCCGTCTGCAAGAGACAGCCGGTATTAGAGCCCCCTTCACCGCGGCAGGGCAGCTCGGCAGCATCTAAGTGCCTTAATCAAGAGAGAGGCCTGGAGGTGGCAAACACCTCCCGCGCGCAGCCCCGCTCGCTCCTCGAAGCGCAAGCCCACTGCGAATAGAGAGGCAAGTCCCAACAAGCACAGCGTAAATAAACCAAATCCCGGCTGGCGAGAGGGGCTCGGGGCTCCGGGAGGGAATGGGCCAGGCCGCGCAGGGGCCGCGCCGGCCGCCGCCACCAACTCGGCGTTCGGGTCCCCACGAGCTTTGTGCCGGCAGCTGAGGCGCTCGCCACTTCACCGCTGCCATCCCTCCCCATGTGCCCCACGGCGCCGCGAGTCCCGCCCTGCTTTTGTGCGGCTCCCAGTTAGGAAACGCCTCTCAAACGGAGCACAGAGCCCACGCCAGGACCTCCTGCCCCGAGTGACTGAGCAGCCCGGAGCAAGCAGSCGCCCCGCTCTTACCGAGCACGGTAATGGTGGTATAAATTTCCTGCGGGGGATCAGTGTAGAGCTGGCAGAAGTATCTTCCTTCGTCGGAGATGGAGACGTTTGTCAGCGACACTCGGAGCTCGCTGTTGGAGAAGTTCACCAGCTGGAACCTGCTGTCCTTGAGCGCTGCGGAGCACACGGGGCGTTAGTGCTGGAGCAGCACGCAGCATCGCGCCGCGCACCCGCACGTCTTAAACTGCACGAACAGCACCAGAACCCAGGCAAACTCTCCTTTCAAACCCAGGCAGATTCTCCTTTCCCACCTTTCACTGTGGCTCTACGGAAACACTTGTGTTTGCAGATCATGACAAAAGAGCCAACACAAGCAAATCCCCTCAGCACAGGCCCAACCCGTGCCATGTGGCACTCCTTTTCGGAGGCTGGAGGGACGCTCGGGCAAACAGTCAGTTTGTTTCCCTACGTGTTCCTTTGTGACTGTCTGCAGTCTATAGATTTGACAGGAGGGCAGACCCACAATGGCATGAATCACAGATCGGAATCAACAACAAGGGATCTAGCAGGTATGGCCCGACGAGGAATGTGGGTCCAGCTTCCTGGGCCGTCTAAACGCAAGCGCCCCAGACCCAGCAGCGGAAGGCATTCCCGGAAGGCATTCCCGCAGGGCAGGACCGAGCGCGACGCCGAGGGCATCCAACGCGTTGCTTCCCAGCTCTGTCCCAGCCTGAGGCCGCGGGCGCTGTGCTGACACAGCCCGTGGCGCTCAAAGAGAGGCCCAGATTGTGTCAGAAACTGCAGGCTTCCAGCGAAACATATTACCTCCGCGAACACCGCACTCGCTCTGCTCTGCCCCGTTCAATTTGTTTGTGTCAGCTAAATATTTGGCCCTCGATTGCAATTCACCCTGAATTACTGCAATCAATTCCTATTGCAAAGTAAGACAGGCTGACTTTTGCAAGGGACCGTCAAGGTTTCCATTAAGGAGAAGGATTATGATCGCCTGTCTCATCTACCCTCGAAAGAATTGACTAAAGTCTCAGTGTCTAACATTAAATTAAAAGTAGAGATCTTTGCAATTGCTTTACGCGGAGAGCAAGCAAGGTGGGGGAGAAGTTGCGAGCGCCTCGCACCGCGAGGATCCAACTTACGTCTGAAATCTCTGAAATAGATGGTCTGTCTGTTGGGGTTGAGGAGCTGAATCACCGAGTCATCGCTGTTCTTCACCCGACAGCTGATGGTGGCAACATCTCCCTCCACGACCGTCACATCTTCCGTCACCAGATTCTGTCCGCCACCTTAAGAGGCAAGCACAGAGAAGCATCAAGCCGGGACCGCAGCGAGCTCCCTGCGAACACGTCCCGCCCGCGAACGCGGGCAGCGAGGCACGAGCGGGCGCGGGCTGCCTCTGCGTGCCCCCATCGTCGCGCAGCGCAGCGCAGCGCAGCGCGGTGCGCACACCGCTCCGGGACACCACACCGGCGCGCGCTTCGCTGACGCGAGCTCTCCCACCCAGCGCACGACTGGGAAAATCCCCCTATGTTCTGGGCGTCCCACTAGCTACCAAGCTGTACGGGAAAAATGCAATTGCGATCTGGTAACAAGGTAATTAATTTCAAAGCTTGATGAACCAACTTCTCCCGTTCTAGCTGAGGTGAGCAGAATACTACAAACGCTCTCAATGGCCCTCTAATTGCTCTGCAGTTAATCCCTGCAAGCGAGYGCCCTGGTTCCGGCAGCCACCGCCCCTCCCTACGTGTCTTGCAGCATCCCGTAGCGCCAAAGCGCGAGGAGTGCCGAGGAACACGTGAAAAAGCCGAAGCGCTGCCACGTCTGCACGGGCTGTGTTAAAGTGCTCCCTGACAAGCCGGGCAGATTAGCTCTCAGGGAAAAAAATGCTGCCGYCGGAAAAGCTGCACGCCGCAAAAACAAGGAAAGTGTCAGCTAAAAACGTATTAAGTTATTTTTCAAGTAAATGATAGACACGGACAGAATTTCTCTCCCTTCCTCTGAGAAGAAAATGGCTTAATTTTAAAAAGCATCAGGTTGTGCTGGGGGAAGAGAAAAGGGCGGGGGAGATGAGCAAGTCTCCCATACTCTTTCCCAGGGAAAAGCCTCTGTTCCCACAGAAACCATCAGGGCACCGCGGGTGCTCGGGGCTCCTATCGGACAGCGCCGCGTCCTGCCCAGCGCCAGCGGGCATCACGGGCGTGCCAACAGCAACAGGCGCCGCGCGCCTGCGGGGCAGCTCCGGGGCTCCCGGCCGCCTCTCCAMAGAGGCGGCCCCTTGCAGGTCCCATCGCACGGCCATCCCTGCGGAGGTCACTGTCACGAGGCGCTCGAATCGCCCGGGATCTCACCGGCGCCAGCCGCGCGGTGCGCAGGGCTCCCGGCGCGCGTTGCCCCGGCCAGGCCCGCAGTGCTGCCAACGGGAGCRGGGTGCCCTGTGCCCCACGCTGCGCCCGCCGGGCTGCCCTCGGCTCCCCAGCGCGCCGCGCTTTGCCCGCCACCTGCCTGGCCACAGCGACACCCAGAAACTTGGGAAACGGCATTCAAAGAGTGCCACTTTCTCCCATCGCTCCCTATCAAGCAGCAATAATGCCTCCCAATTTCCCRCAGTGCTGTCAAGTTATGAATCACWGGTGGCCGTCCTAAKTAACACAGATTAGAGTCACAGAAGTACTTGGCAAAAGTTAGAGACAGAAGAGTCGCGCGGCAGGAGCACGTGGTGCCTCCGGATTGCTGAGTGCGTCGCTCCCGGATTGCGGAGCGCACCATACCTGGATAGTGGAGCTCACCGTTCCCGGATTGCAGAGCGCGCCGTCCCCGACGTGCAYGGGCAGGACGCGAGGGAGCAGTGGCGAGAGCCAGACTGGCCGCCGCTTGCGCAGCATCCGCGCGCCCTTTCCTGCTCCGGCCCGGCCCGGCCGCCAGCACTCACGGACATCCCAAGCGCGCCGGCTCCGTCCCCGACGCCAGGCCCCGCTCCGAGGCAGGCCAACAGCCGCTGGGGCTCCCTGCGGGCTGCCGCCTCCGCGCAGGGTGTTTAAATAATGCTCAATTAGGATCAACACWCATTTATTATTAATGCTGTTCTAACACAGAATTCCTTATCTGCATTTTATCTTGCAGCTACATCGGCATCAAGGACACACGCAGCACAGATCTGAGGAAGGAGACCTTGATTAATCTGTAGTTTGAAGTACTCCCGGTATTTCCTCGGTCTGCCGTGCCTTGTTCTATTAGCAAGTGCGGTGTGATGTACGGCAGCAGGCTGCTGCAGGGAGCAGCGGCGAGGCGCTCCGCGCTCGCACACGGCAAGGGCATGCCGGCTGTTTACACTGTTAMAGCGCTCCTGGGCCGCGCCTCCCGCCCGGCGCTCACGGGCGGCTGCGCCGCGGCGGCCGACGCTGCTGCAGGGCGCGGAGGGAGGAACGGCGGCGCGGCCGGCTCAGCCTGCGCTGGGCAGGCGCTGCCGAACGCCGCCTCTTGCAGCCCCTATCGCACCCGTGGCGCATGGGGAGCACGAGGACCTGCGCGCTGCGCCTCTCGCCCCGGGCACCTCCCAGGCCTCACCCGGCCGYGACGAGCACGGGAACGCCGCTGCCATCTTCCCCATACGGGCAGGGGCTCCGATGGAAGCCACTGAGTTCCATTGCTGGAGGCTTCAGCGACACGGTGCACGTAACAAGATGCAATAAGGTGGCGCAGGGCAGGCACGGCAGCGGTGCAAGAAGCCAAGCAGCGCTGCGTCCTCCCAGGCACGCAGCGAGCGAGGGTGGAGGGCGGCCCGCGCCACGGCGGGCACAGCGCAGCTGCGGACAACACTCGGGACATACAGCCCGGGCCGGGGCACGGCAGCCTTCACGCTTAGGGTCAGTCGTGTGTGCTGACGCAAGGCCTGGCCACACCTCAGCGAGGCTCGAGCAGCGCTGCCGGCCGAGCAGGGCTCCCACGCGCGCTGGCAACGGCTCCCGCCTTGCAGAGCAGGGCGCAGGCAGCGGGCGCCGCAGCGGCGCGTCCCGGCAGGCGCGCGCGGCACTCGGGCAGCGGGAGGGAGCCTCGGAGCGCGGCAGCCGGACGGGGCCGGCGCTCGCCACGGCCCCAGCRCCTCCGAGCGCAGAGCTCGCCCTCTCCTACCAGGCACGCTGGAGTTTCCAGCACATATTTCACACCGGATGGCATTTGCCTTTTCAAAATGTATTGTAGTTAGTTCTAATTAAGTCTTCCTCTTTGTATTAAAATAAAGCACGGGCCTKGAGGTTTAGCTTGTCATTTTAAACAAAGCAAAACGGTAAATGCATTTGCGTGCAACGCCATTAGACATAATTAAGCACTAGGTAAAGCGGACGTCGTGCCATAACTGTCACTTAGCTCTACAGTGCAGCTCATCAGCGTTGATCAGAGCCGTGCCGGGAGAGGCAGCGCCGTGAGGGTGCACGGGTGCCCGGCCCCGGCCCGGGGCCCGCGCCGCAGCGCTCGGGCCTGCTCTGCCGCCCAGCCCACGCGCTCTCTGGTCCCGGGAACGCTCCAGCGCGCCAGCTGAACCCACGGAAGCAGCTTTTGGAACACRGCTCCTCCTCGATAGTCACAGGGCAAACACCAGCAGGGAGAAGATCCATTGCCAAGGAGATGGGGCACCCTGTCGCAGGGAAACCACGTCAGGCTGCCCCACTTGGCACCCGGCATCGTCCTTGGGCATCTGCCTTTACCRCAGCACCGGCGCCTTCGCCGGGGACGCAGCCCCTCGCCGGCCAGCGGCAGCAGTTCCTCACCGTGACAGAGCAGCCGGRACAGCTAACCGAGGACAGCACAGGACACCCAGCACAACCTTCTGCTTGCTCCCTGCCCAGCTCCGACGGAAACTTTCAGGAGCAGCAGGCCTTCGAACGGCAGAGCAGCACTCGCCACGTTCTCAACGGGCACGCGCCAAGGTTTGGTTTGCTTACAAAGTCTACACTGTCATAGGCCCCTTTTTGCACGAAGAAAACATTGTCTTGTTGCATCTAGCACCRGGGACGACATGAACTTCCCATTGGTGCTGGGGATCACGAGCCAGCAGGAGGTCCAAGCGGGCTCCCCTGGTCGCGCGAAGGGCCCCCTTTGCCCCGCAGCGGGGCAGGCGGGCGCGGGGCCGCTGCGCGGTGCACGCACTGCAGGGTGAGCCGAGGCCACGCGTAGCGAGGGCTCGCTCTTGCACGCACTCCGGGCTGCGTTTTTGTCTTTCCGACAGCCCTTCCTGAAGCACGAACTCATTACGGATGTAGACGAGTGTTATAATTGCTTGGGAATACGTCTCCYGCCCCACATGGCCGGAGAGGCCGTTCCAGTGGCTTCTGCAATAGCGCCGAGGGACGCCGCGAACGCCCCGCGGCAGAGGCCGTGGGCAGCGCCGTGCCCGTGCGCCTGGCACGCGAGCGGCCCTGCGGCACGGGAGGCACCCGCGGGCAGCGCTGCGGGCCCGGCGCTCGCGGCTCCTCGCGCTCCCCGTGTGCCCGCTGCCCGGGCTCCGCTGCCCGCGGGCACCGCGCGCAGCCGCCTGCAGAGCATCGGGCAGCGCCGCCAGAGCTGCCCATTCCCGGCGCCCATCCCGACCACGGCAACGCTGCCCTTTCAGTGCTCTGAAGCAAATATTTGTCCACCCGATAAGATACAATCCTGGCGTTCCCTTCCCTAGAGGCTTCACAGAAAAGCATGTTTGGGGGAAGCACTATCCAGGGCGTTGGAAAGATAGCCTTTTGTACAAGAAACAAACTTGGGATTGGGTTACTAAGAGCACCAGGCTGCTTATCAGTCTAAGAGCAGCCTCTGTAAAGGTCACGCGCGAGGGAAAGGCAGATACTCCTTCCCGTGCTGGCAAACAGGAGCTCGTTTCTCGGAGCCACCTGCAGCGCCCAGCAAGCCGACCTTTCCCTTACAAAGGGAGCAGCGCGGCCCCGTCGCTGCCGTCTAACCTGCCTCGCCTCGGGAGTTCAAAGCMCTCCCGGTGCCGCCACACCATCGCTCTCCAGAGGGATGCAGGGTCCTTCCCCGCTACGGCTTCCGCGCTCCAGCCGCGACTTTTGCCCGGAACCTCCCAGAAACACACGCAGAGACAGGCTCCAACGCTGCCCCTGCCCAGCCACGTGTAACCTGACCAAACCGCGCTGTCTCGGCCGCCCAAGCCGCGGGCGGTACAAGGGCAGGCTCACCTTGTGCTTCTGCAGCTCCTTGAGCGCTGTGTCGGCCGCGTGATCCTTGCCCACCCGTTTGCAGCCCTGCCCGTGTTTTACAGGAGCAGGGGCAGGGGCGTGGGAGCGGGGCAGCTGCATGCAGGCCCACGCCGCCCTTTCTCCTGCCCGCCACGGCGGCGGCAGCGGGAGCTCCCGCGCCCTGATGGAAGCCGCGTGCAACGCAGRCCCTCACAAACGCACTTGCGAGGGGCGAGATGCCCTTCGGCGCCGCCGGGAGGCCGCGTCCCGCTCGGCAGGCCCCGCTCGGCGCCGCGCTGCACCCACACACCGCACGCCCCAGGCGGCTCCTACAAGCACAGACCAAAGTGAGGAACCCGGCTCCTCTAGCAAGCGAGGCTGCCTCACCGCGGTGCTACCAGCAGCACTGCTTGCCCACGGGCAGCGCACTGCACCAGCAGCACCTCGCGCTGCTGCCTTSCAATTGCTGTCACTCCGGCGTGCAGGGGATGCACCGCTGCGGAGGCGCCTTTGGGGAGCCGAGCTGGAGGATCCCTTCCGCCGTGGGCACCTTCTGCAGAGCGCGAGCCGCCCCGGGGCTGCTCGGTAGCGCCGCTCAGTTGGCCCAGCCTGCTCACCGCGACTGCGCCACGTCCCCACTGCGCGGGCAGAAACGCTGCAGCCCCACAGAGGCAACCGCTCCAAGCGGCGCCCGCTGCACRGCACCAACGCACCCAGGCGCGACCCGCTGCCCGCACGGGCAGGGAGGAAGCAGCTTGTCGGCACTGCGCACGGAGCAGCCAGTGCCAGGGACACGAGCGGGCAGCGGGGGCCACCACGGCCACCTCAGCGCGAGGGCCACCGGCCCCTCCCGCAGCGGCCCCGCTCAACAGGCACGAGCCGCTCCAGCARAAACCTGCTCTTTTCCCTGAGTAAACAAGTTACCTCATCTCGAGAGCAAATTCCGTTCCGTATGTTCATGAATTATGGATCTCTGCCACKGTAGCAATAAGCAGCAGGCAACGCAGATCACAGCAATTCACACTTTACAACAAGGCGAAAGCAACGCACAGAAGCTCAAAGCAACAGCAAAAACCATCTCCGTTCGCTTCAGCTATGTGGTTCAGCCCCTCTCGTCGTGAGCATCTTTCCCATCAGGATCCTGGATGAAGCCCAGGTCCTTGGTTGCCCTTTGCGCCAAGCGCCTTTGTTGCCCGACCCGAGCCCCTGCATGGTCRCTGCCAGCACCGTGTCTTGGAGCAGGGAATGGCAGGGAGCTGTCAGGCGCCGCCAGAGCAGCTCTTTCTGGAGGACATTTACATGAGCGGGGCTCCAAAATCTCCATTTCATCGGGAAAACAAGTGATGGGAGCAGAGCCCTGTCAGGCCAGGCTAGAGCGGAATACTAAATAGCAAGTGGACAGCAGCGCAGGCTTCCAAGGGGCTACCTGGGATGCTGGGCTCGCCTCATTTCCTCGTGGACTTAACCAACTCGGAGGGCTCCAGTCTTTGCACGTGCAAACTATTTCCTACCTCCAGCTACGAGGAAGGGCAGCACTGCTGCATTCGCAGCCAAATTCGAGGCGCTGCCGTGCCAAGGGATTTTACTACAAATGCTGCTTGCTGCTCGCGGCTGCCGCTCTGCATCTGTGGCGCGCTCGAGAGCTCCCGGACAACACCCTGCCCTTCAGAAGCCTTTAGGGCAAGCCTTTGGATCGAGCTTCGCGGACAGCGGCCTTCAACAGCTCACCGTTGCACAGCAAAAGCACTTGCCCGCGCCTGCCTGTTCAGGGCACGCTGAGGAGGGAAAAGTTATTGCCCGCTCTGCTCCATTGACACCGAGATTGGGCTTCTTGCCTCCAGCAAACGCGCAAACAAGCCCCGCAAAGGTTGTGGAAGCGGCAAAGGCCGAACGTGAGCAAAGAGAAACGTGAGCCTGTGGTCGGAGGAGCAGAGCAGCGAGCAGCCCTGTGCTGACGACGCAGGCGCAGCGCAGAGTGCCCGGCCACCGGGGCCGGCGGCCTCGGCACCGCATAATTCAGCGCTGCGCTCCCGCGCTGCCGCCGCCTGACACACTTCTCTGGAGGCTGGACTGCATTATACAGCCTTAGCGAGCAGAAGCCGGCGCGAGACGGCCCTGGAAGTCMCCATAAACACC